TGAAACCTGTAACCTTCGCTTCTTTGTAGAGCCTCATTTTGTTTCCAACGTCTTTCCTGCCCTCCAAGTACCACGCTCGCTGCGACCTTCGACATCAGACCCCCAATGGGTAGAGACTGCAAAGTAAAAACTTTGTCCCCCACGCTGACTAGACATACCAGCATAGACGCGACGAAAGCACGATACAGCTCTTCTAAAGACCACGTGACCGATCTGCGTGCGAACCGGTTTGCCACACTACTAAACCATGCCTGGCGCTTCCTGCAAGGGTGTTTTACCGTAATGTACCGCTGAGGGCTTGAACAAGTGAAGATGTGGAGGAGTTCCGTAGCTTCCTGGATGGCTTGACTAGCCTCTACCACCTCGTAGAACTGACCGGCGTCACCCACAATGCCTTCAAACGCGTGCATGTCACGGTGGCAACGGCAACATCTTGGATGGGAGGGCCAAGGATTCACAGGTAGACTCGACATAAGGTGCAACTGATGGGCCGCGTCTTTGAGGGACCAAACGTCACTTGTGTCACCAAAATGTTTTAGCAAAGTCTCCCAACCACGATGGAGGCTTCGCCATAGTCGCCGTCGGGGCCAAGAGGCGTAAGATATTATCTTACGAACACAGCTGTGACGATGCTTTCTGCAAATTCTGACGCCGCCAAACCAACACTTACCCTTTATAGTGATGTAGCAATGAGGTAGTAGCCAACACGTGGCACGTAGTCCCAACTTTGAAGCCAAAGACTGTCCCAACACTTGACAAAGCAACGACAATAGCCAATCATTAGCGGAATCCGCCGTCAAGGCTGTCAAGCACCATGATGTGGCAATCAAAGCAAAACTAGCAATGAGACGGGTATACACTGGTTTGGGCATTGCCCACGCAAACTTCTTGTTTTTGTCATCCGGGATCAAAGCAGGATCGGAGATACCATGATTGTGGAAAGCCGCCGAATAGCTCTCATAAGAGGCTTGAGTGTCGCGTACATGTTGCCAATGAGCATGAAGACGAACTGGTATTTTGTGTGGAATGCTTCGACAGGTTGCAGTAGAACTGGCACCAAAAGCTTCGTCAACCTGTCCTAGGCACATACCAACCTGCGAGACGAAGGGTACGCGCTCTGTCACCCGCCAATTCTTGTCAATACAATACATGTTTGCAGAAGCGACCTCCGGAACGCTTGGGGGCGCAGTAGGGAACCTCATGCGTTTTGCCAGTTGGGAATGGTTCCATCTGTCACTAAATAAGGCTTCCCGTGTAACCACAACCTTGAAACGAGAAGACATCCACATGGCGGCCAAAACATGTCCACGCGAGGCAACTCTTGAGAGTTCAGCAATATGTGCATGCACCAAGCTTGTGAAACATACATGTGGCACCACGACCTGTATATACGTGCTTGTCCAATAGCCTCTTGCCATAAGCCACGGATCCAAAACCCTTCTCGCCATAGTGCGCTGATGTGACTTCGGAAGTTTCCTCAAACATAGTGCACAACGAACAACAGCATTTCTGTCAAAAGACTCTGCATCTTTCCACGCGAAAGTGCACTTGCTTGTAGCCAAGAACAACACAAACAAGGGCCTGAAACGATCTTCAAAAATATTCAGGGGACCTCTGAAACCAGAATCTGCATGAAGGCGCTGCTGGAAAAGACGATAGGCATCTTTGAAACTGAAGTTCCATGGGCAAAACTGGGGCTGCTCAAGGCCTTCCCTCACGGATATCTGCAGAGTATGTTCGCGGCAATAGCGATTGAAAATACTTACGGTTCTGGAAGGGTCAGGTTGACCAGGGTTGGCTCGCAGGGGTTTTGGAGGTCGTTTCCGAACGTAACAAGTGACAGTCGGGGACGGTGTCTTCTTTTGCCGTCCATTGCTGCGAGGGCCATGAGCACGGATGTCAAAGGTCTCCAGGGCTCGAATGCAACTTTCCGCCCCAACTGCAACGATCATGAAGAAAGACGATTCAGGTGACACTTTGCGTGCAAGACGGTACCGCAGCTTGCCGCCTTCTGGAGACGTAGGACGAACAGTAGCAAATAAATGCTCCATCAAACGTTTTGAAAGACCACCCTGACTTGGGAGACTGGGGCGCTGAAGATGGCCTATCCCGGTGTAGCGGGTGTTCTCGGTCCACCACTGATATAAGCCAAAAAGGTCGGGGCAGCCATCGATGAAGTTCTTTTGCATGCGAATGACATACGCGAGAGCTGCAGCACGGGATGGTGAGTGTGGCAAACCACCCCATTCCAGTGCTTCACGTGCCAACGGGGGCAGGAAACGCAGAACTCGTTGAGCTTGAACGGTCCAATGCCGGGTACGGAGCCAAAACAAACTCTTCGCTGATACAACTGTTGCCAACACGATTTCGAGAGGGGCGCAAGTTCTGTGCGACTTGTGTGAAGAAGGGAAAAACCAACGCACCAAAATTAGATTCATGAGCTGGAGTCGATTCCACGATTTTTGTGGGGGTCGGCGGCAATGCAGATCATGAAGCAACGACTCGAGAATCATGTGAGCAAAAGCTTTTGCGCTCATGTCCAATGCTTGAATATGGGCACGATCACTGTAGAAATCCCCAGAGAAATTTTCAATATCAGATGTAAATATGGAATACAGCATGGCAAAGATGTACGTGGGTTTGGCGTTCATCCAACCAGCTGGCAAGGCCTGAATATGGAACCTGTTCATCGCTTCTGGAATGTTCAGAAACGGCAAAGCCCAAAGCACCGTGGCACTGCTGTAATGCTGCCGGTAAGCAAAAGGCGAGTCACAAATACGAACATTCGACTTTTCACGCGAGACCCATGCATGTGCGGGGCGTTTGCCCCTTCAGCGCTAGCCTAAACCTCGCGAAGCTGCGGAGATCGGCACGTTCACAATCAGAAACACTAGACGAAAGCAGCGTAGCTAAAAGGAGAAAGCCCTCAAGGAGCAATAACAGGCTCTGTGCCGTCTACACTCTGGTGATTTCTGCAATGCAACACCCTATTCTAATTATTAAGGCCCTAATACTAAGCCCCCATCATACCCCGTTTAGTAGTCCTTATAGAACCCTGTAGAAGAAACCCTTAAAGGAACCCTATTCTAATTGTTATAGTAAACGCCTGAAGCCGAAACCCTATTGGGCACCCGAACCCTTTAAGCCCGAATAGCCATCAAGAGCTCAACCCCCAAAAAGGTGAACGAGCTTCAGGAACCCTACTGTAACACCCGAGACCCCCAAAAAAACAAAAAGACCCCTAAAACCAAAAACAAGCGCATAAATCTCCAAGCTCTCGATCCCCTAAACCGTGTAGTTCAACTACCTAGAGGCTCATATCCCACCCATTTTTTGGATACCTAGTTTTATGGTTAGGACCTGTTATCTTAAAAAGTAGGCGCCCGAAAAAAGGGGTAGGGTATGAGCCTCTAGGTAGACTCTGAACACTAAACAACCCTAAACCCCAAACGCTGAGCTCTGTTACCGCGCAGCTTTCTTGTGGTAATGCTCTACTGGCCTCTGCCCGGAACCCCGCAACCGAAAGCAATAAACAATAGGGTTCAGGATTTGGGGGCTTAGGGTTACAACGCAGCTCAGCGGACCTTCATAAACTGTTCGTTTGTGGGTCTTTGTAAAGGCAGCCTTATAGGAAAAGACAGTCCCTGAATAGTTCAGATTTTTTAACACCCTGAACCCTTCGATCCTGACCATACAGACAGAAACCCTAAACCCCTCAACCCTAAAGTATCGAAAGTGCCCAAAACCCTAAACCCTAGTCGTTTGGGGGCTTGAAGACGTGCTCTGAGGCTTGTACACAAGTCTGGGCAAGTGGGGCCGCCAGCAACCAGGACAGCTTTGGTGGGTAGCGAGGAGTGCGAACACAGCTTCGTAATTAAATGAAACACTTGGAGGATCATGAATATTTGGGGGCTGTAGACATTTATTGCTATAGTTACCTTACTTATAACCCTAGTTACCAAGTCCCAGCATCCTGCAAGTAGCCTTTTGTAAGGTCCTGGCAGATGCCCCAAAATTACGATCGCACAGGCCACTGTGACTATTAGATATTACCCTAAACCCTAAACCCGATAGCCTTGGGCTCTTGCTCACACCATCCGAGGCCTTTTAGACCCAGTTGGGCGCCGGCAATTTCAGGAGCGTACTCTGGTTGAAAGTACCCCAAACCCCAAAACCCTAAACCTAGACTTGGATTTTAATAAACCCTATAAACTCAAAGTTGAAAAAAGACATACCTCGAGTTGTTTAGAACTCAGGAAAAGAGACCTCATGAGTCGGACGGTTTGAAGCAATAAAGACCCCATACATCAGGGCCGCAAAACCACGACCCCTAAACATACAATCGTCAGCAATTAGTCATAGAGTAATGACATTCAGCCTGACCTGCTGGCAAGCCAGGCCAGGCCATGTTGAAGTTGAAGGCCTTTAGGGTTTAGGGTTTAGGGTTTAGGGTTTAGGGTTTAGGGTTTGCTAGCTTGTTCCGTGCTTGCTCCGTTGTTTTCTGTTGTTTCATGGCGGCCATATCACATTCCCAGAAAACCCACTCCGCACTGGCACGGACCGACCCTTTCGAGGGAACGCACGAGGGTTTAAACTTGCAGGGCATCGACCAGAAGTCGTTGCGTCACCGGACGCAAGCGGTCGCGAAAACCCCGCGTGGGCAACAACTCCTGGATCTAACCCCAAGGGTTCAAAGGACCCAGTAACTAATTAGGTACTCGGTCATGATTTTTGGGTATTTGGACCCTTGGGGTAAGTTGTTGAGCATGGGCTGTGCGCATATTCTTGTTCCGCCGACTCCTGCTCCAATGGTGTGGTTGTCAAAATTACGGTCCGTTTTTGGGTACCCTAGATAATAGGTGCCGCAATATAATAAGGACCCAAAAAGGGTCCCTAAAATTGACAACCATGTAATGGTGTCACGTCGCACTGAACGTCCGGATTTAGTTGTGTGACTCGTGCATCATGCGCATGTCTCCACAGCGTCTGAGTGGTGCCGCATGCTCGTGCCCAGACTGAGATTGTATTTCGCCTCCAACGGACAAGCTGGGTCAGTCGGATCTTGGATGTTCTCGTGTTGCATGGGGATTGTGCCTTTTGTCGTTGTTTCGTCTGTCGACAGGACATTTCCCAAAACAGTGCTCTACAAACTGATTTTTCTTTCAATAGCTTGCGGCAAACAGACCTGCGTGTTCGAACTCTTCAAGAGCCTTCTGCAAATCCAGCGTTTCTAATGCCAATCACCGTCGGTGTGCATGTTTGGATGGAGAGGGCAGTTGTGTTCCCTTCCCGGGGTTGTGCTACGACGAGTTAGTGGGGAATCTCAGTAGGCACGATGCTGTTCGGGCTATTGCGGAATTCCAGATTACATTGCCGAACAGAGCCCTATAATCTGGAATTCCGCAATAGCCGCTAGCCCGAACAGGATCGTGCCAACTGATGAGATTCCCCACTACCTCGTCGTAGCACAACCCCGGGACGGGAACACAACTGCCCTCTCCATCCAAACATGCACCGGCAAGAAGTCCGTTTCTCTGCGACTATGGCCGGGAAGGGGCCCTGTGCCGAGAACTTCGAGCACGCCATCCAGAAAGATCAGAAGAATTACCTTTTAGCTGTTAAATCAGCCCGCCAGGACCACGGCAGAAGCCCATGGAGTGGACAAGGAGGAAGTTTGGATTTTTGTCTTCGGGTTTGGGTTGGTGGTTGGGTGAGGCTAAGGCAGTTTCTGGCATTGTAATGATTTGGGGCATCTGCATTTGCTCTGCCACCCTTGAGCAAAAAGACAGACTTTGATCGTTTTACTTAATCTAGCTGGAAAAGATACTGTTCCAAACATTAAGTTTTGAACACCGTGACCAAAGACAGGAGCCCCAACGCGGGTCAGAAAGAGACCCTCTGGTTCTTGGACCACTTCCATGGATTGCAGTTCGCTGAGTGACTTCGGCCCCGTGTAATGGCTTTGGGGTTCAGGATTTAGGGTGTTGGGGATGGTGTTGTGTGCCCAACTACTGCAGGTGTGTTCTGTGGGTCCGTTTGTGTGCGTATACTGTATACATATGTGTATATAGAAATATGCATATATATTTAGATATATTCGTAACAAGGACTATGTGTATGCATTAAGACATGCACAGTAGGGAAACACGATCTGGGGATTGGGTGTGTAGGTAGGTTTTCCGGATGTGGGGAAAGCTTACGATTGAGCTGGATTTCGAATTAACGTGCCTGCGTAAACAGGAGTTCATCTTGGCCTCGGCAATTACCCAGGCCGTTATCGCTGTACCGCCGTAGAAATCTGACCTTAAACCCGACAGATCCAACAAATAACTTAGTTAACCGAAGCGTCCCACCTTTGAAGCTGCAGGGTTAGTAGCGAGCGAGGTAGCAGTTACGAAAGGTTGCACATGCAACTGAGAATTGCTGCGATGCGTAACAACCCTAGAATTCCCGGGCTTATGTATATGTGCTTCTCAAACTGTGCGGTAAAGGCAGCCTTAGATATGGCTCGTTGAGGCTCGTGCGCAAATTTGTATGCAAACTGTGTTGATGCGTACAGTGCTGCTCACATTTTCGTCTTCAAATCGCTTGAAGGCACTCCAGCTGCGTGTGTGTGGTTGCGTTCTACCCGCCGCTACATGTGGCTTTCGAGTTCTGGGATGTAATGCTGGAGGGTGGTCTTCTCATTGTTTGGGGTCTATGCTAGCGGAAGGTTTGAGGGAGTTTTATGTTTATGATAGCTGTATGGGGGCGATTTGGGCTTTAAGGCCTATGAATTGCAACTATTTCGGCTTTGTGCCTCTTTCGATTTTTTGCCACGAGTAATTTTGCACAGCCCTAGTCTGCCGGCAACATTTTTGAGCCGAGCCGAATGTCTCACCACAACCTTAAAGTTCAGAACCCTGAACGTAGATCCCATTATCCTGACCCAACAGCCCCAACTGCTAACCTGAAATGTTCCAATTTTTACTTACGACCCGTACATTTTCTTTAGAAGTAATGCTGAGGACTGGTCAAGAAGCCCCTGGTGTTAATTACAAGGCACTAACTCAAGGATACATATTAGGCAGAACTGTTCCACTTGTAGCCTTGATTGAAAGTCCTTCAGCCCCATAGTTCAAGCCCAAATGCACAATCCTCTATTTCGGCCCCGGCCATTTTGATGAAACTCCCAGGCTGGATGAGAAGGGCATCGTGGACGTGGGTGTCCTCGACCCGCCATGGTACTGTGAGGCGTCGTTTGCGTTGTTTGTTGTGAAGGGGGAGTGTGTTGGACTTTGTAGGTTCAGAGTTTAGAGTAAAACGGGTTTAGGGTAAAGGAAGGTGGCTTGGGGTAGTCTTCTGATAAGGTTCTTATGGTTTGGCAATGTTTGCTGTGTTATTGGGTCGTCTCTATGGCCTTGAAGTGTAAAGACAAGAGTAGAGAAAACTCTTGACGCGCACACAGAAACGAAACTACAAGAGAAACATACGTCAATTACGCATCTTAAACACGCGGTCTTTTGCACTCTTTGTGCGCAATGACGTTGTTAATCTTATCCCTATGCCACTGGCAAAACTGAAAACGGAGTTTATTCTTGCGAGGCTAAGGGTTTGATGTAGGAACCCGATTAAGAAACCGTGGACCTTGGGCCTTTATTAGGGTTCCTTGTCTGAATCCTACTATTTGGGGGTTATAGGCCCAGGGTTTCTTAATCAGGTTCCTACATTAGGATTTTGATGGGTTGGAGGGCACGCCTTGATGCGGCTAGTTTGAGGGCTTGGGTTTGCGGTCTACGACAGAACAGATCTTTTCTGGGTAGGGTGCATGTAGAGTTTAGGACTCGGGCTTGTAAGGCTCTAGATGGTTCTGGGGTCACGCTTGCCTCGCAGACTTGCGCATGCAGCTTTCCATTTCCCAGCGGCTCTAGCTTGCTCTTTGACATACACGGGGCTTTGCGAAACTACTACTACCAGGTTACTACCACTACTGCTGCTGCTGCTACTACTACTACTACCACTACTACTACTACTACTACCACTACTACTACCGCTAATGAGTAGCCCGAGACACTCAAGCCGAGAACATGGGGGTCCCAGAAAGCCCTGGAAGCCGAAGTCTCGTGTCTCGAATTTGAGTAAAGGCTTAGAAACTTGCTGCTATATGGTTTAGGGTTTCGAGTTTGAGGCCTATTAGGGTTTGGGGTTTTAGGGTTTAGAGGGTGAGATATAAGTAGGTTTAGAAGTAGCAGGATTTGTTTGACGGGTTTTTGTTGCCCTAAACTTTGGAGAGCTGTATTCACAGCTGGCGAGTGACTTATCACAAGCTAGGACCCAGAGTAAGCCCTTATTCCCTTTTTTAGTTTCAGGTTCCCTTACAATCCCGTTTTAAATAAACCAAAAAGGGCACCCTTTTTATTCCTAGGTTACTCTTAGGTCTAGTGTTTCTAGTAGATACTTTGGCCTTAAAGTACTCACTACATAGGTACATTGGGCCCAAAGTATATACTATTTGGGTACATGGACCCTTGAACCCTAAACCCCTATAGAACCCTTAAGGGAACCCTTACAGGCTTTGAGGCTGTGGGAGTTAGAGTTCCAACAGGCCTTAGGTGTAGTGGTTTGTGGCCCAAAACCCCTGATGCCCAAGAGGGCCCCCAAAAAGCACATAAGCAAAGATGAGGATCAGGATGTCCCATGTCAACCCTTTTATAATGAAGCCCATTATGGTAGGGATATCACTATAAAACAACTTCTGTTTATGTCCTTTTCGGGTCCCTCGAAGAGGCCTGCTGGAACCAGCTGGAGCAGTACAGGTCGCACCAGTATCTTTTGCCGTGGCCCAACTACAAGCCGCCTGAATTGCATTGCTGTCATAACGATAGAACGCACGAGCTTCAGGATATGCTACTACTACAACTACTACCACTACTACTACGACTTCTTCTTCTCCTGCTGCTACTACTACTACCACCACACCACCACCACGACGACTACTACTACTGCTGCTACTGCTACTGCTACTAGTGCAGCTACTTCTGCTACTACTACTACTACTACTACTAGTACTACTACTACTACTACTACTACTACTACTACTACTACTACTACTACTACTCCTGCTGCTGCTGCTACTACTACTGCTGCCACTACTGCTACGGCTGCCACTGCCACTACGACCTCCACTCCCGCTCCCACTCCCAGTCCCACTGCCACTGCCACCGCCACCGCCACTGCCACTGCCACCACGACAACGACCACAACCGCTTCTAAGACTACAACAACAACTAGTACTACTACCACTACTACCACCACTACTACTACTACGACGACTACTACTACTACCAACGACTACCAGTACTACCACTAGTACTACTACTACTACTACTACTACTACTACTACTACTACTGCTACTGCTACTGCTACTGCTACTGCTACTGCTACTGCTACTGCTACTGCTACTGCTACTGCTACTGCTACTGCCACCACTACTGCTGCTACTGCTACTACTGCTACTACTTCTGTTACTGCTACTACTGCGACTACTCTACTGCTTCTACTGCTACTATTGCGCCTGGTACTGCTACTGATACTGCAACTGCTGCTGCTGCTGCTACTACTTTGCTGCAACGACTGCCACTTACTGCTACGGTGGCACTTAATTTCTGACGTGACATGCGCAGCCTTGAAGCCGAAATCACAAGTCTTCATTTCATTGCTAACACCCAACCCGTAAATAGTTTGCCCCTTTCCCCTGCTATACCCGCCACAGCAAAAGTGCCGTAAGTAATTTTCAGGGCGGAACAATCATTTATTATCACGAAGACCATGCCGTTGCTGCCCCCGTCTGGTTGAGTTTTCAAAGACTTTCAAAGGTCCAGTGATTAAGGCCCCTATTAAGCCATAGGCCTGGAGCACGGTTCGTCTTACAGAATTCTTTGGCTTTGGGGTCTAGGGTTTCGCATATAGGGCTTACCCGGAGGGATCCAGAAACTACTGTTTCAGGGAGCATACCCTATCATGAAGGGGTCAATACCACCCTTTGATAGGGTTACGGGATCAGGGCGAGTCTAGGGCTGAGAGCAAGCCTAGTCCTAAACCCTACCTTAGCCTACCAAACCCTACTTTTTTGTAGGTTCTTATTATGAACCTTAATATGGAATTTATAGGGACCCTACTTTTTTGTAGGGTTTGGTAGGTTAAGGTAGACGTCCAACCCTGAACCCGAACCCTGAAGCCCTTCGATGCGGATTGTCGCCGAGGTTCGTGCGAGCCCAACTCGAAGTGGGTATCTCGCTTCGGAGCTCCCCGGCTATACCCTAAGGGCAACGTAGGGTTCTATAATAGGGTCCCTTTTTGAGGGTCCATGTACCCACATAGTATATACTGTGGCCCACAGCCTTTTGCTTACCGGCTGACACAGATGATCGCGAATGTAGTCTTGTGATTTTTTTGCTCAGAGTCAGGGACATTTACCAGGCATAGCGACAGGTAGGTACGTAAGTAGGTCGGATTGGCTGATCCAGCGCCGAGCAGGCATTATTAGGAAGGTAGGAGCTAAGGCAGGTAGGTAGGTAAGTAGATTGGAGGTATAGGCTGATCCGGCGCCGAGACAGGTAGGTAAGTTGGCAGGACAGGTTTGCAGGGAGAAAAGAGACGGCACTCTGAGGCCACGGTATATACCATATTTACTATTTGGGCACATGGACCCTTAACCCTAAACCATTAAAGAAAGCCTTACAGTATCTCGCACAGGGACCCCTAGGGCAAACCCCAACATTCCCTAAACCCTGAAACCCCTCAAACACGGACTTGCCGGGGTGTTAACGGGGATCGTTCTCTAGGAGCTTATAAGGGCTACGGTTGATGATGTAAATCCTGCATTACTTAAGGACCCTAAACTGTGGGAATTATGGTATATTTCCTGTTATGGGTAATGCAGGATTTCTATCATCAACCGTATTTCGGGCTGTATAAGGGCTTTTGTAAAGTTTTCTAAGCAGTTCAGGGGTAACGTAGGATTTCCAGCTTTGGTTGCCGTAACTTGGGCTATAGGTTTAGGGTTTAGGGTTACGTCAACAGACCTGTGCAGGGAAGTCAGGGTTTAGAGTTTAGGATACTGAAGCGCGCGGATTTGTTTGAAGGACATCACCTGAAGCCGGCACGGTTTCAATGCGTAGTGCCAGAGTTCGCTATTGTTTTACAAGGCTTGCTCGATTTGGAGATCCGTGGGTAGTACTAGGTGGAGTTATAACTTATAACTCCCTTAATACGAGTTATACTTATAGTTACCCTACTTATAGCCCCAGTTCTAAGTACCCAGGAACCTGGGTGTAGGGCTTCATTTCGGTCTTAGAGGCAGGCCTTGGAGTCTTGTACCTGACATGGTGATGAACCGTGTGCTCACCTACTAGATGCCACTTAGAGGTTCATTGGGTAGTTATACATGGAGTTAGCCCACATAAAACTACCCATGAACCTCCAAGTGAACCCTGCACCCCTGAATCCTGTGCCTTAAGCCCTAGACTTGTAGGCTAGCTTGCAGATGCCTCGAGAAGTCAACCATGTTTTCCAGCAGCCAGAACACGAAGTGTGTCTAGTATGGGCCTGAATAAATAGAATAGGTTTTTGTGGTATACGATACCATACTTACAATGAGGAACCCCCAACATAGTACAGTTCATAATTAAGGCTTGTGTATTCGTTTCTATTGATGTCTGGGATTTGCCTGGGTGCAATACTTGTTGCAAACTATTGCGGATTGGTGAGCTTCTTCTTGCCATGACTTTGATACCTGCAGTAAAGTAGTGGATCGTGAATGTTGCCGCTACAAGAACGACCCAGACACAGACTACTGTAAACATCACCAGTACGACACACATGACATGTTCAAGGTGATCTGATCGTTATCGCTCTGACCATTGATTACCAATGCAGCGTCTAGTCTGTGCCCAGACCCTTTGCCGTGTCTGTGCAACTAGCTGACTAGATTGGTATGATTGCCCATCATGGGTAGCAGCGTTAACTTTAATTTAACTCCCACAGTACTTTATCGAACAGCTTCCTGGTTGGATTCCCGCTCTAACCCATATAGCAAGGCTTATCAAAAACCTACTCAAAAGTTACAGCACCCTTCAACAGCTATACCTTAAAACTTAAACAAATGGATAAGAACAAAGGCGCCTCCTTCAGCATCTTTTGAGCCACCGAGGCACACTGCTGTCGAGCCTGGAACAGCAGATCGTGATCCATCCTCTGACAGAGGCCACTGGGTTTAGCAGTTTAGGGTTCTATGGAGTACAGGGAACTCCAGAAAGTTGGAATATGGTTTCATGGTAGGATACCCTATAATTTACCATAGAAGGGTTAGGATAATCATATTCCAACTTTCTGGCTTTTACCTTAGGAGTCAGTTTTTTCCTGCTACCCTCTGCCAGTTGTTGCCAGTGTAACCGGGAGCAGCGGCCCGGGCCGCCGCACGCCGGAGCGGACATAGGATTTTATGACCAAACGAAGCAAAGAATAATCGCCGATGGTGCAGCGCCCTTTCGTGCGAGCTCGGTGTAGCCTGTGCATCGCACTGTGGCAAAGGAAAATCCTCGCACAGTGCAGGGTTGCTTCGTTGTAATTGCTGTTCTAAGCCCCCTACTATAAGTAGAGTTACAAGTAGGGTAACTATGACTATAACCCATATTAGGGGACTTATAACCCCACTTACAACGACCCATGAACCTCGTCAGGCGCCGTGTTTTCGGAAAACCAGGCCCGAGAGCGCAAGCTACGCCTCAGGGCCGGTGCTCAAGATGCTACGCCTGACAACCTGAAACATCCGAAACTCAGGGGAAAAGGAGGGACCCTTAATGGGGACCCCTACCCTATAATGGGCTATATAATGGGTATACAATAGTTAGATTAAGGGTATGTCCCTCCTTTCACCCTTGGAGAAAATGTTCCCTTTGTGAGTGTCTCGCACGGGACTACAAGTCCGGCACAAGGGGCGTTGCACCATGGAGCATTTTTGTTTACCATGGCTCGTGCTCTGCACCTGCCATCCAGAAAGATGTGATGAATTCCTTTCGCGCAAACCTGCACAGGACTGTCGCCGGAGCCGCCGGACCAGGCATGTCTATTTGTAAGCCTTGTTCACGCTTTGCAGTCAGTTTGAAGCACTGAAACTTCCTGAGGGCCATAGCGTGGCAGCCAGACATTATTTTAAGCAATGGCGAGAAATAAGGGAATGAAAGGGTGAATCATCCATGCAGACCCCAGATTTCCTGCATTGCACCCTAAATCCGACCCTACGGTAACCGCCCAACCCCAAATCCCCAACTAGCCTCTGCAAATCACGATCGCGCGCCAGGCGTGGTCTCAACGTGCCGGCAAGGCCGTCCTCGATCACGGCATTTGCATCCTTCCGTCTGCACCACGGCTTGTCCAGAAGAAAATACTAGGGCCAGCCGTGTTGAGGGTTCAGGTTTTAGGCTTGTCTGAGACACGGTTTAGGGTTGAAGGTCGAGCGTTTAGGCATTGTTTCTCGTAGCTTGTCTGGTTTCTGTTCGGTTCTCTGGGCGTTGTACCTCAAACCTTAAGCATCCCTAAGCCATAAGTCCTAAACTTTACAGCTTCCTGGCTACATTCAAAGCCCTGGGTTTCGCTGAGACTCCCAAACTCTGCGGCCATCTATGTGTGGGACTCAGTTCAGTTCTAATTGCTTTCATCGTTTGATAACACTTTGGTTGTACTAGGTGTATGTATCTATATACATATATATATATATATATATATATAGATATATGTATATGTGCACACATAGGTGTACTGGTATATAGTATTCTTGCCAGAGAAACCAACGACAGCCTTGATGATCACAAAAGTTGATTCCAGATTATCTGGTGACTCGGGCATTAAGTGAAGTACAAGTGAAAAGGATCCAGAAGTAAGCCATCAACGGAAGAAGCGATTGCTCTTAGAGTAGATGCCCAGTTGCAAGGCCAGCCAGCACAAGTCAAGCGAAAACCGTGCAAGCATGCAAGGAAGAAGCGAGATTGGAGAATCCAAGCCAACCATGTCAAACGTGTTGAATTCAACTCCAGGTGCTTTCAAGGGAGGCGATCGAGAGCTGGAAGGAGGGCTGCCAACGGCTGCACAAGCAGATCGAGGACCCTTCGACGGAACAGACCACAGTGTCGAGAGTTTCGGGTAATTTTTCGGTTTGTTAGGGAAGAGGCTCTTTCACTATTGCTACAGGCACTCTAATTGTCACTATTGCATAAGAGGACACAGACCTGTATGCACGGTTACAAATGCTACGGTCACAAGCGCTGCTGTTAGTAGAGTGTGATCCATCGCTACAGTAACCGCAACACTGTTCAATGTGCTGTTGTTGCTGTTGCTGTGGTGTTGTGGTGGTTGGTCGTTGTCGTCCTTGTCGCTTTGCTTATTTCAGCTATGCTCGCTCCTGCTCGCTTTCAATAGTGGCACGCATCAAATTTTGGGTTGTGTGTTTGTTCTACCCTCGCGTCATTGCTCATATATAATATTCCTTCTCTGCTGGTCCACGTTGACTCTGCATGGCACCGCTATGTGTAAGACAACGACAAGTGATGCTGCTACTACTGTCCACGGCGATTAAACGAAACCTTCTCGTGGTTTTGCACCAAGCATCTTGATGTGCAGTAGTAGGTTACATCATGGTGGAAAACAGTAGTAAAGATCAGAAGTAACAAATCTAATATGGGCTGGACTGGGCAGTTAGTGCTGATCTCTTTGTCCCGACTTATAACATATGCGGTACGCCACGAGCCTATTATAATATTAAGGCCCCTGTATTAGTCCAGATGGACTTGGGCTTGAGGTGTTCTTCAATCATGTGTGCTCCGAATGAATGTGTGTACTTGTGGTCCCGCGTTTCTGATGCCTTCATACTGGCCGGGATAGCTTACATCAGAGTCCCGTGTTAACTCGAAACCTGACGTCCCTAAGCATCGAATCCGAAACAGGGGTGAAGTTGAACGTTTGCATGATGTGTGCATTATATCTATATATATATACATATATATATATATAGATATATATATATATATGTGTGTTTATTTATCGCACGGCTGCCCGAGGGGCTCAATTTCTTAAACCAGTGATTTGTTAAGCAGTGCTGTTGCTGTTGACATCTACGAGATACCTTGCAATGTGGTTTTCCGAACAATCTGGCATTCGTGATTCCTATAATGCCTACAAAATCCCACCGCGCCCAATCTCCAGGACCCAAAGCCGTCGGATTCAAGGAAGAATCCTTCTAAACCCTAAACCCTAAACCCATATCCTTCACACTCTGCAGGCCTGGCGTGCAAGAAATCAAATTGTTGGGTCTCCCAGCCAAGAAAGCCTCTAATGTAGGAACCTGATTAACAAACCTTGGGCCTATACCCTTTAAAATAGTAGGATTCATATAAGGAACCCTCATGAAGGTTCAAGGTTTCTTAATCAGGTCCCTACATTAGGGTTTAAAGTAGGGTTTATGGTTTAGGGCATATAGTGTGCGGGTTAGCCTTCTTTCATGAGGTTCATGTATGAGTTCCTGTATGGGTTCCTTTCAGGATTTCCGTCAGGGTCCATGGCTTTGGGGTTTGGTTTTCGGGAATTTTGGGCCGGCTTTTCGAATTTTGTTCTGCATCATCCCTAAACCCTAAACCCCTAAAGCCTAAAATCGCTGATCCCCAAAACAGAAAGCCGAGACCCTAAACCCCTGAACACCCACTACTTGGAGGGTCGGGGGACTTAGCCAACTGCTTATGTTAGGGACTTTTAAGTACCATAACCCCAATTAGGGTCCCTTTTAGGGTACTTATAAAGTCTACTTACTACCTACTTACTAGGTCCCCCGACCCTCCAAGTAAGAACCCTCATGGCTTAACTTGCAAGTACCCTGAACAGCAACCTGAGTCTACCCGGTGTACCGCTGATCCCTGAACCCTACATGCCCCAAGCCTTCTAAGCCGGAAGCCTAAAATCCTACTTGGAGGGTCGGGGGACTAAGTAAGTAGGTAGTGAGTAGACTTATAAGTACCCTAAAAGGGACCTTAATTGGGGTTAGGATACTTATAAGTCTACAAAACAACTAGTTACTAAGTCCCCCCACCCTCCAAGTAGGCCTACAACCCTAGAGCCGCCGAAGCCAGGAGTTCGGCTTCAGCGAAAATCGTGGATCCGGACGTTTTTCCTTCGGCACTGCTTTCAAGAAGGCCTTGAAGATTAGGAGCCAGAGTAAGCCCTTATCCCCTTTCTTAGGTTCAGGTTCCCTTATGGTTCTTAGGTCTTATAGGTCTCGAAGATGGAGTTGGCCTCCTTTGGGAATTACGCAGGGTGTAAGGATGCAGGTGTTTAGAGAAGTACAGTGAACCCCAGAAAGTTGGAACATGGGTTTAGGAGGATTGGTGCTAGGATTCCCTATACTCTAAGGGCTTGAGGATGATGATGTTCCAACTTTCTGGCTTCCACTATAGGTTTTTAATTGGAGGGTCGGGGGACTTAGTAAGTAGATAGTAATAGTAAGTAGACTTACAAGTACCCTAAAAGGGGCCCTAATTGGGGTTGTGGTACTTATAAGTTTCTAAAATAACCAGTTACTAAGTCCCCCGACCCTCCAAGTAGGGTTAAGGATTTAAGGGTTTTGGTGCTCAGGGCTCAGGGCTTAGGGTTTAGAAGAAAAGCCTTAAAGATGAGTTGGGCTCGGGCGTGTTGTAAACAACTGCCTGCAAGATGCTTTGGGGCTTCTCGCTACAATCGGTTTAGGGTCTATAGGGCTCAGGGTTAGTGTACATGATTCTTTGGGGCTTTTCGCTACAATCAGTTTAGGGTTTATAGTATTTATAGGGCTCAGGGTTACTGTAGTGATACTATCAATCTATGGAGGCGCTTACACCTATACTACGTGCTGGAAGTCTAACATCTCCCAAACAAAGAATACCTCAACCCCTAAACCCTAAACCCTAAACCCTAAGCCCTGAAAGCAACATGATTCGGTACTGCCTCAAAACTTGAAGCCGACCCTAAGTCCTGGGTAGGTTTTCGAGTTTAGAATTTTGGAGTTTAGGGCTGTCTCTTTAGGGTTTAGAACTTTGGAGTTTTTTTGGCTCTCCATGGCTCTCCTTTTTGTTTAGACTTTTGGAGTTGTTCTAGACTTGAACCTTCTCCTTTCAAGCCTTTCAAAGTTTTGGAGCGTCTGTCTCTTTGGGGTTCAGAGCTTTGGAGTCGAGGGTTCTCCTTTCAAAGGCTGTCTTGTTAGGGTCTAGAACCGTCGACGGTGGCCGAAGTTGAGCAAATCCTACTTGCAACATGAAGGCGGTAGGCGAATGAGTTCTGCAGAGCGGTTTCCGATTTGCGTTTCGCGGAAGCACTAAACCCTTAACTGTACTTTAGTTCTGGAGATTAGTAGAAGTAGTAGCAGTCGTAGTAGAAGTAAGAGCAGCAGCCTTGACATTAGCAGGGGATGACCGTCGTTCTGTCGCGCGCGACTGAGCCGTAAGGGATTCACATCGTCACATTCCAACTGATTAGTCTTGTTAGGGATTGAAATCAGGCTACAATGATTGGAATGAATGTGTATATATATATATATATATATATATATATATATATACACACACAGAACCCCTGTAATGGGTCCTACCCTCTACATATATATATATATATATGTGCATATATTATGTGTGTATACAGCATATATATATATATATATATATATATATGTATATACATAGATACATACATACATATATATATATGTATAGATACACATATATTTATATATGTATATATACACTGCGCCATGTGTATAATATATATATATATATATATACACACACACATGTACCCCATACATACATACTTACATACATAGTCACAACATGCAAGTACATATATATATATACACATAACACACAAGGTGCTTTCCTTGTTGTAGTGTCGTCCAGGGCAACTGTCTTCACGAGCCCGAGTGGGCCCAGCAGATCGTGGCCGTGCCGGCAGTTCTGCAGGTTCTGGATGCTGCCGCTCGTCGATGGAAGGGTTTAGGGTTCAGGGTTAAGGTTTAGGGTTAAGGGTTTAGGGGGGTTTAGGGTTTAGGGTTAAGGTTTAGGGTTAAGGGTTTAGGGGTTTAGGGTTTAGGGCTCGTCGATGGAAGGGTTTAGGCCCAGAGACTCCAATATCCCTTAATTCAGGAATATACCTGAAATTACAATAGGATCCCTAATATGACTTAAGGAATATTCCTTAATTAAGAGATATTGGAGTCTCTGGGTTTAGGGAATAGGGGTTTTGGTGTTGGGGGCCCAAGAAGGACATGAGCAGAAGCTGTTTTTAGGGATGTCCCTACCTTATTGGGCTTCATTACAACGGGCTTTCTATGGGATATCCCTATCCTAATTTTTGCTTTTGTGCTTTTTGGGGCCCCAGTCTGTGTTCGGCCCGCTGGAAGGAGTTTCCGTTTTCGGTTGTTTCGGGTTTAACGGCAAGGTCCAAGGTTCATGCGCCGTAGTCGTTTGAAAATTAAGAGCAGTTCCACATGAGCGTTCATCGTGACAAGAGCAAGTTTTTGATGACGGAGGAGTGGCTGACAAGGACCATAGTTTCCGTGCAGCAGTTGACTTCGCAGCTGACTCTACTTGTATGTAGAAGTAGGGACTAGGTTTGAGTACATCGAAGGCGCAGCGGCGCATCCATCTACCTTTCTGGTCACCTGTACCTGCCCAAAAAGTCCTAGGTACTACTGTTATGGGGGATACTTTCCCAAATCAAGCATAACGAAATTTCTCCCTAAACCCTAAGCCCTAAACCCTAAACCCTAAACCGCACAGTCTACTATGCAAGTACTTTGCATCCTAAGGGCTGGGGAGCAAAGACGAGCCTACTTCTTTCAAGTGGGTGGTTGTCAAAATTATGCTAGAACAGGGCTCCTTTAAAGGGGTCTCTAAGGGCTACTATAAGGATTTAGTATAGGGGCTATAGTCTTCTAGTTGGGTGGTTGTCAAAATTATGGCCCCATTTTTGGGCACCCTGCCGTACTATATTAGGGACCCAAAAAGGGATCCTAGTTTTGACAACCACCCAAGCAGCCTGGCAAGATGGCCACAGGCTTTCGGTTCGTCCCCGACAAATGGAACGGCCCTGTTTTGAATAGATTCCCACAGGCTCCATGTAGCGATATAGTATATACCTTGGCCCTAAAGTACGCATATGGGGATTACTTGAGTACATGGAGCCTTAGGGGTTGAGAACCCTCTTCCCTCGATGCAGGTTTGGGGTCAGCGCAGCGCCTATCGCTGCTGTGGCGGAGGCGGAGAGTGCGTCTCGCCCCACTGTGTCACGGCAAAAAATTGGAAAGCCCACATGCCAGAGAGTCATCGTCCTTGTTCTTTCTATTCTCGTTGCTCAGCCCTGAACGATACATCAGATGTTCTGCGGCAATCCGTTTCGATCCATTCGTGCAGCCATCGAACATCAGCTTGTACTCAGAGGTGCTACTGGTAGTGGCATTGGAAGCAGTAGTCTACTAGCGGGAGGTCTTCTGGAAGTTGCGTATCATTTGTGTTCTAAGGAGTAGAACAAACAAGTATTACCAGCCGTCGTTGATTGGTTCTGAGTTTGATATCATGATGGTTCTATTACTGCTGCTCCTGCTAGGAGCAACTCGGTTTCATGTGTGGTGCCACCACGACGTGACAGTACGTACTACTACAGAAACCTTTCCTCTTGTACACAGTCCACACTGTCATGACTGCATTGCCTGGAGCTTGGTTTTCACGGCCCTCAGGTGTAGTCGGTTGGAGCTTCGGGCTCAGGGCCCTCATCCACAAGTTGTTGAGTCCAAGTGCTTCGAGTTCGGTTTCATGAGGGCATTTCCATGGAGCTTTGATTTCATGAGGCTTGGCTATGAACTCTTGCTAGCACTTGCTGCTTCTGACGGTTTTCTTACAGCATCGAGACTGTTGTAAACTGTACATGTACCTTTTACTAGACTTACACTTGTGCATCACTTGCTAAATACTAATAATACTGTTCTCATAACTTATATTACTGCTGTTATGATTATTGTTATTCCTATTCCTCCTATTGTATAGCGCTGTTTTCGTGTTGGACCCCACACCCTAAGCCCTAAGCCCCAGTTCCGGGTTCAGGGCTGGAGACGTCAATAAAGACACCAAATGAAGTATTGTGTACGATAGACCCCCTACGCCCTAAACCCCATTATGATAACCTAATAGGGATCTATCGTAAAAATATGTGGCTTCCTTATAGTGGT